TCTCCCTGCTGATGAGGATGTTCTCTCTGCTGGATGGGGATGTCTCTGTTGGGGGATGTCCCTTCTTGGACTGGGCTGTCTCTTTGATGGTTCTTGATTGGGATGTCTATTTTCTGGGAGGGATCCTGCAAAGAGACAGCGCCCATTGTCCAGCAAAGAAGACATCCCATCCAGGAAAGCGAGACGCACAATCCAAAAAAAGACGGCCCATCCTGCAGAGACATCCTGTCCAGCAAAGAGACATGCCCTCCCAATCCAGCAAAATGAGACATACCCATACAGCAAAGAGACATCCCAATCCAGCAAAGAGGACATACCCATACAGCAAAGAGACAGCACAATCCAAAAAAAGAGACAGACAGACCATCCAGCAAAGAGACATCCTGTCCACGCAAAGAGAACAGTCCATTCAGCAAAAAAAAACAGAAGGGAGAGGCTCTGGACAGACTGCGTAGGGAGTTTCAGAGGATAAGTGAGGCTTCTGAAAATATTGAGGTAGGGAGTTTCAGAAGATGGAAAGTCTTCTGAGAATCAGGATAAAGCATTCCAGAGGATAGGAGAGCTCTGGACATATTGAGGTAGGGGCGTCCAGAAAATTGAGATGCTAGCTGGACAGATTGGGGTAGGGAGTTCCAGAAGATTGGACTTTGGACAGAATGGGGGTAGGGAGTTTCAGAAGATAAGAGAGGCTCTGGACATATTACGGTAGGAGTTTCAGAAGACAGTAAAGGAAGCTCTGGGACATATTGGGGGTAAAAAGAGTTCCAGAAGAAAGCGAGAGGATACTGGAAATAATTGCAGTAACAGTTGCAGAAGAAGGGGAGGCACTCTGGACAGAATTGGGGGTGGAGAACGTAGTTCCAGAAAATGGAAACAGGCTCTGGACAGATTTGGGGGGCTAGTTCCAAAAGATGGGAGAGGCTTGGACAGATTGAAGTAGGGAGTTCCAGAAGATGGGATAGGCTCTGGGTGAAATTGGGATAAGGAGTTCCAGGAAGGGAGAAGCTCTGGAAGAGATAGGGTAGGGAGTTCAAGGAGGTGGGAGAGGCTTTGACAAATTGGGGTAGGGAGTTCCCAGAGCATAGAAGAGGCTCTCGACAGATTGGGTTGGGGAGTTCCAGAAGATAGGTGAGGCTCTGGACATATTGAGGTAGAAAATTCCAGAAGATGGGAGAGGCTCTGGACAGATTGGGGTAGGGAGTTCCAGAAGTTGAGAGAGGCTTTGGACAGATTAGAGTAGGGAGTTCCAAATGATGAGAGAGGCTCTGGACAGACTGGGGTAGGGAGTTTTCAGAAGATAAGTTAGGCTTCTGGACATGTTGAGATAGGGAGTTCCAGAAGATGGGTAAAGCTTGAACAGATTGAAGTAGGGAGTTCCAGAAGATGGGATAGGCTCTGGAGAATCAGGGTAAGGCATTCCAGAGGGTGGAAGAGGCTCTGGATAGATTGGGGTAGGGATTTCAGAAGACAGGAAAGGCTTGGACATATTGCAGTAGGGAGTTCCAGAAGATGAGAAGAGGCTCTGGACAGTTAGGGTAGGGAGTTCCAAACAAATGGGAGAGGCTCTGGACAAGACTGGAGTAGGGAGTTTCAAAAAGATAAGTGAGGCTCTGGACATATTGAGGCAGGCAGTTCCAGAATAGGATGGGAGAGGCTCTGGAGAAATCAGGCTAAGGCATTTCAGAGGATGGGAGAGGATCCGGACAGATTGAGGTAGGGAGTTTCAGAGGAAGGGAAAGACTCTGAACAGATTGGGGTTGGGAGTACCAGAAGATGGGAAAGACTATATGAACAAATTGAGGTAGGGAGTTCCAGAAGATAAGTGAGGCTTTGGACAGACTGAGGTAGGGAGTTCCAGAAGATGGAGAAGCATGAACTGATTGAGGTAGGGAATTCCAGGGAATAGGAGAGTGACTCTGGGCAGATTGAGTTGGGAGTTCCAGAAATTGGAGAGACTATGAAAAAAGCAGAGTGAGTTAGGGAGTTCCAGAAGATAAGTGAGGCTCTGGACAGATTAAGGTAGGGAGTTCCAGAAGATGGAAGAGTCTCTGGACAGAGTTGGATAGGGAGGATTCCAAAAGATGGGAGAGGCATGGACTGATTGAGGTAGGGAATTGTTCCCCTAATAATTCACAAAAAAAAATCCTCCAGAAATGCAGCAAAACACATCCAATCCCGCCGCTTCACCTGCACCTGCAAGAAGAAGAAGAAAAAAATAGGAAAATGAAAAAGAAGAAAAAGAAGTAGGAGAAGAAAAAAAGTAGAAGTGGAAGAAGAAGAAGAAAAAAGAAGAAGCAGAAAAAGAGGAAGAGGAAGTGGAAGAAAAAGAAGAGGAAAAAGAAGAAGAAGAAAAAGAAGAAAAGGGAGAGGAAGAAGAAGAGGGAGAGGAAGAAGAAGAAAAAGAAGAAGAGGAAGAGGAAAAAGAAGAGGAAAAAAGAAGTAGAAGAAGAAGAGGAAGAAAAAGAAGAAAAAGAGGAAGAAAAAAGAAGAGGAAAAAGAAAAAGAGGAAGAAGAAGTAGAAGAAGAAAAAGAAGAAGAGGAAGGAGAAGTAGAAGAAGAAGAAAAGAAGAATAAAAGAATAAAAGAAGAAGTAGAAGAGAGGAAGAAGAAGAAAAAGAGGAGGAAAAAGAAGTAGAAGAGTAAGAAGAGGAAGAAAAAAGAAGAAAAAGAATAAAAAAGAAGAAAGTAGAAAAAGAAGAAGAGGAAGAAGAAAAAGAAGAAAACAAGAAGCAGAAAAAGAGGACAAAGAAAAAGAAGAATTCCAGTCCGCTATTATATTTGACATGAAAAAGTCTTGTGGTTGCAATAATGTATCCATTTGTATCCGAATAAAAACATAATAGATACATTGTTGCAACCGCAAGACTTTTTCATGTCAAATATAATAGTGGAGCTCTCTGCAGGGACAGAAGTAATTAAATGCCGGCTGCAGACGGGACGAAAATCGGCTGATTTTTTTTACCGTACCGTTGGTGGTAACATCGGCCTATTGAACGACCGAGTTTTGTTTTTTAAATAAAAAAAAAACGTCCGGTTTTCGACCCGTCTATGGCCAGCTGCATAAGAAGAGTTGGATTCACACCATGTGTAATGCGGAGTGTAGGGGTGATTGGGCTCACAGCGCCCCCTTGTCTTCCATGCTGAACTGCAGTCCATAGATAGGAAGTGTCCCCTAGAATGAGATTTACTGCATGGAGTGTGAGTAGTCCCCAGCAAGGGAGCTGAATGCAAAAAAAAAAAAAAAAAAAAAAAAAAAGGTAAAAAAGAATAAATAATAAAATAAACAGAAATAAAATTAAAACAAAATAAGTAAAATAAAAGTAGACATGATAAAATAAAATAGAACCGAAATCGCATCTAATGAATGCGAATGTCGGCGTCTTAACGTGCGATTTGCTGCAGCGCCATTTCTAAAGTAGTTCTCGCGTGACTTTTTCTGCAGTTTTGTTTGCGATTTCACATACATAGAATACAAAGGAAATCGCACCGTAAATCGCAAGAAATCGTTCAAAACCTTCACAAGTCACAATAAAGCCTTCAGGGATCTTGCTGAAATTGCACACAAATCGCACGATTTTAAGTCGCAGCCGTGTGACCCGGTGACTAAATAATACAAAATTAAAAAAGGAAATGAATAGATTCTCAGCCGTTCTGCCGTGACGTTTTCTGTAGTTTTGTTTGCGATTTCACATGCCTAGAGCAGAATGGAAATCGCACAGCAAATCGCAAGAAATTGCTGAAAATCTTTACAGGTCGCAATAAAGTCTTTGGAAATTGCACACAAATTGCAGCGGTGTGGGCCGGTGACTAAAAGGTGGAAATAAATAATTAAAAAAAATAATAAATAAAAACAAAAAAATAATAATACAAAATAATAAATAATAATAATACAAAAATAATAATAACAAAAAAAAAAAATAATAATAATAATAAATTAATAAAAACAAAAATAATACAAAAACAAAAATAATACAAAAAACAATAATAATAAATAATAATAATAATAATAATATTAAAATAATAAATGTTAAAAAATAATACAAAGATAAATAAAAACAAAAATAAATAATAATAATAATAATAATAAAAATAAATAATAAATACAAACAAAAAAATAATAAATAATAAAAAAATAAATAATTAAAAAATAATACAAAAATAAAAACAAAAGTAAATAATAAAATAATAAAAAAACTAAAATAATAATAATAAAAAACAAAAATAATACATAAAAAATACAAAATGTAATAAAAAAATTCAAAAATAATAAATAAAAACAAAAATAAATAATATAAAAAGAATAATAATAAATAATAATAATAATAATAATGATAATACATAATAAAAAAATCATACAAAAATAATAAATAATAATAATAAAAAAATACAAAAATAATGTAAAAAGAATAATACAAAAATAATAAAAAAAAATAATACAAAAATAAATAATATAAAAATAATACATAAATACAAAACAAAAATAAATAATACAAAAAAAATAAAAATAAATAACTAAAAAAAAAAAGTAAAGTAATAAAAGATAAGTAAAAATAAAGAAACCAAATCAAACATACAAGGAGGAGGAGAGATGGAACACAAAACACAGGAAATTAAAATAAAAAAACAAACAAAAAAAAAAAAAACACCGAAGACCATCGGATGAATAAAGAATGGAAGGCGAGGGAGGAGTCAGGTTAGCTATGGAGCGCCAGGCCCCGCCCCCGAGCCTCGCCCCGCCTCATCCCCGGACTACGCTTCCCGGCATGCCCCGGGGTGGGGCCCTGAAGTCCGGCGCATGCGCGCTGCGCTCCCGATCCCAAGTTTGGCTCTCCTCAGCTGGCAGCCCTGGCCCATCATGTAGATCGGAGCCCGGGGATCGGAGAGCTCAGAGCGGACGACTCAGCCGGAGGAGCCGCACCGTGCCGGCCGCTCACAGCACAGGAGTCCCGGCGGCGGAGGTCGGTGTCGGAGGAGGAGGGGAGGAGGCGGCACTTCACATCTTTGTTGTAGAACTCGCCCCGGGAAGAGTCTGTGTGCTCCCCTCCCCCACCGAGGAGCAGGGGAGAATGAATCAGCCCAGAGGAGGTGAGGGGGGGCGGGGATGGTGGGGGAGGGGGGTGCATGCTGCTGCAAATGCAGGAAAGATTGCATGCCCCGGGGGGAGAGGGGGGTCACCGTGCAATTGCAGCTGGAAGTTGGAGCCATGTCGGTGCATTTCCTGGATGGTGTCTGCACAGTTCCTGCAACCTCTCCACGGGGGGCTGCAGATTCGGGGGGGAGGGCAGCTGCACCACCATTGCACCCTGATCCAGGGGGGGGAGCTGCACCACCATTGCACCCTGATCAAGGGGGGGGAGCTGCACCACCATTGCACCCTGATCCAGGGGGGCTGCACTACCATTGCACCCTGATCCGGGGGAGGGCAGGGCAGCTGCACCACCATTGCACCCTGATCCAGGGGGGGAGCTGCACCACCATTGCACCCTGATCCGGGGGGGGGGGGGGGAGTTTGCACCACCATTGCACCCTGATCCGGGGGGGGGGGGGGGGGGGAGCTGCACCACCATTTCACCCTGATCGGGGGAGGGGAGCTGTCCCACCATTGCACTCTGGATGGACTGCAGAAGGCGGCCCAGTGTGGGGTGCAGCCAGAAGCATGCAGAAGTTTGCACGCCCGGGTCCCGGGGAGATTGCACCCCTCCTGCGGACGGTTTGCAGATTTCATCATTTGCAGAGCGGCCGTCAAAGTTTCTGCAGTAACCCGGGGCAACCGCCGGATGACGCAGCCTTGCATCCCGATGCCGGGGGGGAGGGGGGTGCACCACCATTGCAGCCCACAAAAGTTTGCTGCATCAGTTATTTGCAGCTGTGATCTGCTGAGCTGCCTGCAAACTGTGTGCAGTATTTGTCAGAGGCAACTGGATGTTGCACCATTGCAGCCCAATACTGGGGAAGGCTGCACCACCATTGCAATGTGATCCCGGAGGGAGCTGCACCACCATTGCAATGTGATCCCGGAGGGAGCTGCACCACCATTGCAATGTGATCCCGGAGGGAGCTGCACCACCATTGCAATGTGATCCCGGAGGGAGCTGCACCACCATTGCAATGTGATCCCGGAGGGAGCTGCACCACCATTGCAATGTGATCCCGGAGGGAGCTGCACCACCATTGCAATGTGATCCCGGAGGGAGCTGCACCACCATTGCAATGTGATCCCGGAGGGAGCTGCACCACCATTGCAATGTGATCCCGGAGGGAGCTGCACCACCATTGCAATGTGATCCCGGAGGGAGCTGCACCACCATTGCAATGTGATCCCGGAGGGAGCAGCACCACCATTGCAATGTGATCCCGGAGGGAGCTGCACCACCATTGCAATGTGATCCCGGAGGGAGCTGCACCACCATTGCAATGTGATCCCGGAGGGAGCTGCACCACCATTGCAATGTGATCCCGGAGGGAGCTGCACCACCATTGCAATGTGATCCCGGAGGGAGCTGCACCACCATTGCAATGTGATCCCGGAGGGAGCTGCACCACCATTGCAATGTGATCCCGGAGGGAGCTGCACCACCATTGCAATGTGATCCCGGAGGGAGCTGCACCACCATTGCAATGTGATCCCGGAGGGAGCTGCACCACCATTGCAATGTGATCCCGGAGGGAGCTGCACCGCCATTGCAATGTGATCCCGGAGGGAGCTGCACCGCCATTGCAATGTGATCCCGGAGGGAGCTGCACCGCCATTGCAATGTGATCCCGGAGGGAGCTGCACCGCCATTGCAATGTGATCCCGGAGGGAGCTGCACCGCCATTGCAATGTGATCCCGGAGGGAGCTGCACCGCCATTGCAATGTGATCCCGGAGGGAGCTGCACCGCCATTGCAATGTGATCCCGGAGGGAGCTGCACCGCCATTGCAATGTGATCCCGGAGGGAGCTGCACCGCCATTGCAATGTGATCCCGGAGGGAGCTGCACCGCCATTGCAATGTGATCCCGGAGGGAGCTGCACCGCCATTGCAATATGATCCTGGGGGGGGGGGCTGCACCGCCATTGCAATATGATCCTGGAGGGAGCTGCACCGCCATTGCAATATGATCCCGGGGGGGGGCTGCACCGCCATTGCAATATGATCCCGGGGGGAGCTGCACCGCCATTGCAGGATGATCCCGGGGGGAGCTGCACCGCCATTGCAGGATGATCCCGGGGGGAGCTGCACCGCCATTGCAGGATGATCCCGGGGGGAGCTGCACCGCCATTGCAGGATGATCCCGGGGGGAGCTGCACCGCCATTGCAGGATGATCCCGGGGGGAGCTGCACCGCCATTGCAGGATGATCCCGGGGGGAGCTGCACCGCCATTGCAGGATGATCCCGGGGGGAGCTGCACCGCCATTGCAGGATGATCCCGGGGGGAGCTGCACCGCCATTGCAGGATGATCCCGGGGGGAGCTGCACCGCCATTGCAGTCTTATCCTTTGGATTGTTGCACCAATCCTGCAACCTGTAAAAGTTTGTAGTTGTGATTTTCAGAGCCGCCTTAAAAGTCTGTGCAGTGGTTGGACCGAGTGCAGTAACTCGGGGAAATCAGATACTGCAGCATTGCAACCCAATCCTTAAGAGGGCTGCACCGCCATTGCAATATGATCCTGGGGAGGGCTGCACCACGGTTGCAGCTCCAAGACAACCGAGGGATTGCAACTTTGCTTGCGGTATCCTCTGCAAAAGGTGGCCATGCAATAAAAAGCATGCAAAAATTTGCAGCTTCTATCATATGCAGCTGCAGTTTTCCAAGCCACCTTTAAAGTCTGAGCATTGGTTGCATCAAGTACAGTAACTGGGGGCAACCAGATGTTGCACTTGTGCATGGATTGCAGATCCCGGGGAGGGCAGCGGCACCGCTGCAGCCCGATCCCGGGGAGGGCAGCGGCACCGCTGCAGCCCGATCCCGGGGAGGGCAGTGGCACCGCTGCAGCCCGATCCCGGGGATTGCAACTTTGCTGGCAGTATCAACTGCAAAAGGGGTGCAATAAAAAGCATGCAATCATTTGCAACTTCCATCATTTGCAGCTGCGTTTTGCCAAGCCGCCTTTAAAGTTTACACATTGGTTGCATCAAGTGCTGTAACCTGGGGCAACCGGATGTCGCACTTGTGCATGGATTGCGGATCCTGGGGAGGGCAGCACCACGGCTGCAGTTGTGTTTTGCAGTTTGCAGACAACGGAGGGATTGCAACTTTGCTGGCAGTATCAGCTGCAAAAGGGATGCAATAAAAAGCATGCAAACATTTGCAACTTCCATCATTTGCAGCTGCGATTTGCCAAGCCACCTTTAAAGTTTGCGCATTGGTTGCATCAAGTGCAGTAACCTGGGGCAACCACTTGTGCATGGATTGCAGGTTGCATGCAGCTGGCATAGGTTCAAGTCTTGCACCATGCAGGCTGCATGCGATGTGCAGACGTTCGTGTTTTGCAATGATTTGCAGCAACCTTTTTATTTTCTGCAGATGATTTTCTGCAGGTGTTGCGCGCAATCTACATCGTTTCAAGTTTTGCACAAACTTTATTTTGCTTGCAATCTGCAGGAGGGGGAGGGGGGCTGGTAATTGCAAATAGAACTTTAGCAGACGATGCACAATCTGCACTAAGCAACTTGTTGCAAAGTGTGATGTGACACAGGCTGCAGGGAAACCAATCCGCTTGCGTTTTGGGGCGGAGCTTTGCTTCAGAGTGTGCGCGGTCTGCAGGAAACGCCTAAAAAAGCAGCATGTCTGCATACGTTGCAGGCTTTGCATGGATGGCATGCGACCGGCACATTGACGACCTGCATGCCCCTGGATGGCATGCGACCGGCACATTGACGACCTGCATGCCCCTGGATGGCATGCGACCGGCACATTGACGACCTGCATGCCCCTGGATGGCATGCGACCGGCACATTGACGACCTGCATGCCCCTGGATGGCATGCGACCGGCACATTGACGACCTGCATGCCCCTGGATGGCATGCGACCGGCACATTGACGACCTGCATGCCCCTGGATGGCATGCGACCGGCACATTGACGACCTGCATGCCCCTGGATGGCATGCGACCGGCACATTGACGACCTGCATGCCCCTGGATGGCATGCGACCGGCACATTGACGACCTGCATTTCTTTAACCTTTTGCCTGGTTTTGCATTAACTATTTGTTATTAAAAGTTTGCAACTTTGCTGGAAAAAAAATCCCCAGCAGGCGGGTGGGCTGCGTCTGGGGCTTTGCTGGGTCGCTGAGCTTCGCACAGTTGCTGAAAGCAGAGAAATGCCTGCGAGCCGTGCATTGACGTTCCGCATTCCTCATCTGGGATTACCGAGTCTTTTTTTTGCCTTTTGCACAGTCAGGCTCGGCGTGGATTGGCAGAGACTCGACGGGAGCGAGGCGTGCGGCGCAGCCAAGCTTTGTTGTAGTGCGCAGGCAGCGGCGGCGTGCATCGCTCTCTGCAGACGGGGAGCTATTTAAATCGTCCTTTTATGATCGGCTATTTCAGTGCAGCCCTGAGGCCTGGCGACCGGCTCTGAGCAGCCAATCAGGTGGCGGGGGAGAGGTGTTCCAGCCGAGACTGCCCGGGGTTAGTGTGAGATCAGCATCAAATCCTGCGGGGAATTTCTCTTCGGGACGCTGCGCTTCGGTCTTAACTTAATCAGGCTTATTGAGCGCAGAACAGGCAACCGGGACTGGCAGTCCTGACCGCTGAGGTCCCATTGGCTGCGCTCTGCATGCCTTCAGGGCTGATTGAAGTGCCTCCCTCATGGCCAACTTCTGGATTGTTTGTGGAATTTCTTTTTTTTTTTCTGTGTATGCGTCCTTGTAGTGTTTTGCATATATATTTGTGTGTGTGTGTGTATGTATGTATGTGTGTATGTGTATGTATGTGTGTGTGTGTGTATGTATGTGTATGTGTGTGTGTGTGTGTATGTGTGTATGTATGTATGTGTGTGTGTGTGTATGTATGTGTATGTGTGTGTGTGTATGTATGTATATGTATGTGTGTGTATGTATGTATATGTATGTGTGTGTGTGTGTGTGTGTGTGTGTGT